GCCAAGAGCTGCTAAAGCAACTGTAATTTATCTTATTCCAAAAAATTCACATGTTAGCCACATATCTGACTATAGACCTATCTCACTATGTAATATTTTTTACAAAGTGATTGCCAAGTTGATTGCTAATAGGTTGAAATTGGTGCTCCCTCACATTATCCATGATAGTCAAGATGGATTTATTGCTAAGAGATGCTCTTATGATAATATCATCTTGGCGGCTGAATTGTTGAGGGAATTTAAAACTGGTAGCAACCTTTTTTGTGCTAAATTGGACATTCGTAAAGCATTTGATTCAATTTCTAGAGAATTTCTATTGCATAGATTAAAACTTAAAGATTTCTTGATACCTTTATTAAGTGGATTAAAGGATGTATCTCGGAGGTCTATTTTTCTGTTTTTATAAATGGTTCCTTGGAATAGTATTTCTAAACCTAAAATTAATGGTGGTCTTGGCATTCTCTCTTTTGATGCCTTTTATTATGGGGTTTTCTGCTCCTTTATTTGGAGACTTTATAACACTGATTCCCTCACGGGATCTTGTTCTAAGGCTAGATTTGAATCTCCATGGAAACCCCCTTCTAACTCTGCTTCCAAATTCTAGAAACTTATTTGTCTTCAGGCCCAGCTGATTAAACCTCTTCTCTCTTTCTCTGTTGGCCCTTTTTGCAAGTTTTCTGTTTTATGGGATCCTTGGATTAATGGGAATATGTTAGCTGAACTTTATGCCGATTCTAGACTCAATAATACTATGGTGGGGGATTTTATCATTAATGGACAATGGAGATTGCCGGATTATTTACCATCTCATATCGAGTTGGCCATCTCTAATACTCACATTCATGAGCAACCTGCTTTGGCATGGGATGGCTCATATAATCCTAACTTCAAGTAATTTACTACACAATTTATTCCCATTTTGAGGAGGTTCAGTGGCATGGATTTATTTGGCATAAAAAAGCATCTCTTAAATTTACATGTTATGCATGGATGACAATGCTGGAGAAATTTAAAATGTGCTGATGTGCTTATCCGGATAGGAATTCTTGTGCAGGCTGGCTGTTCTCTTTGTAACAGCAATTCAGAGTCTCACCATCATATGTTTTTTTACTGTGACTATTCTTTTTCAATTCTTATATTGGTTATTCCTTTATTTGAAAGATTTCTATTTAGGCCTAATCTTTTTTAGGCTTATGATTTTTTAGATTCAGAAATTTCTACTTTTAAGTTAGAGAAATTTTTTTGTTTCTCTATCATGGCGTGCACTGTTTATCATATCTGGAAAGAGAGAAACAACAGGCGTTTCTCTAACATTTATTCTTTGCCATTGGTGGTAGCTGACTGTATAAAAGATAAAATAAGTGGGAAGGCTAAGCAATGGAAGAATGTGGATTTGCTTAAAATGAAATTTGTTGGCTATTTCTGATCCGGGTTCAGGTGATTGGAGTTTTGGCCGCATTTTTGTCGATCGGAATTTTGATGGGATGATGATGAACTGGGAGCCCCAGGCTGGATGGTGGTTTCACTGGTGGTTCCCCTTGGATGGCCCTTGTGCTGTTTGCTCCTTTTGCTGGCCTGAGGCAACCAGGGAAGTTTATTTTAGGCTCTGTTGGAGGAATTCTTTATTCCAACCAGTTGGATGAATGCTGATTACTGATGTATTTGGGCGCTCTCATACCTGAGTCACATAGTTCCCCCCCCCCCCTTCCCCCCCCCCCCTCCTTTTTTTTTTCTCTGTGATCTCCATTTGTTTTGGAATTCTTTTCTATGTTTTTCATCATAAGTTTTTTTATTTTTCTTCTTGTATCTGTAACTGCAATTTTGTTTTTATTTATATATGAGCGCAATCTTCAAATTTCTCAAAAAAAAAAAAAAAAAAAAAAAAAAAAAAAAAGATTAAGAGTAAATGATATTTTATGAAATATAATTTTCATGCTCTCGCGTAAGAATTTGTACAACATTTTTTTTTATAGAAAAATTCTAGGGATTAGAATTAAGAATTTGTACAACATTAAGCAGCTAATGCGCATATATGATATAGGCTTCTAATGTTTAGTTTATTTCTTTAAATATTATAATTATGTTAATTTATTCAAATATGTAATTTTTAATGGTAATTTAATAAGTTAATATGGGTGATATATCATCAAAAAAATTATCTTGATCGAGCATTAATCATAAAGTAAATTCGCAATAAAAACTTCTAAATTTAAATTCAGGACTATCTGAACTCTAATTTTAACAAATTTATAGTCAAATTGAACGTCTGGAAAAGACGAAACCAACAACACCAAAGTTGACACAATCCGAGGCCAAATGTGTTCAAATCAAGGACTTGAAGCATATTTGAAAAGTTCAAACCATAAATTGGGCAATCAATTGATTTTCAAAAGCAGCATGCTTATAGTCGAATCGAGCAGCTAGATGAGACAAATCCAATGATCACAAGATAGCCGAATTTTGACATCATTAAGACATCTAAATACTTGATCAATGGTCCATAATTGAAAGAGCCGATATCGATCACCCATTTAAAACATTCCCAACTTGCCTTTGATCCTTTTCATATTTACTGGATATGCCACTCCTGAAAAATTAGAAATAGACATCTTATTCTTCATTAATTAAGGAGGAAGCAATAAAGAGAAAGATGAGAGGAAACAAACAGAAATCAGAGTAAAAAAAAAAAAGAAGAGAAATTAGAGTTCTCTTGCCACCAAACTCCTCCTCGACCATCGTCCGCCACCGACTGCCTTATTGATTATTTAAAATAAAAAATAATTAAATAAAACATTATTTGGATAAATTACTTCATATTGATGGAATATAAATACAATGTTCTCCATGATTATCTTTTATATTGATTTTATTCAAAACATATGCATTACCGACCGCTGAGTCAAGCATAAAGAGACAAATGACAAATTTAACCTGTCAATCTTAATATCATTTTAAACTCTCATAGTCTGTCATCCTATGAGAATCTTAGAATAGTAAGTAAACATGTACTGTTCAAACCCTCTTATGACAATTCATCTCTATAAATTTGATACATGAGAAGCACTATGTCTATACTTGCATCATACAAATCCAACATACCTTATGGTGCATGCTTTCCTATTCATAAGCTCCACATTACATCTGATATTAACTACACATATGACCACTATATGCATTAAATGAAGACTTGATATATTAAAAATATCTAGAAATTATTGATGAAGAGAGTTCATTAGTACTTTATGTTTTATTTACACCAACAATCCAAAACTAGAGAATTTAGTCAGATATGAAGAACAAGTATTAATTGTACAAAAGAAAGAAAGTACATAATTAAAGATATCACCGGATGGATTCAATGATCTCCTCTACGCTCATCTTTGAACTTACAGAATTGATTTCACAAACACAAGGCGATCACTCTAATGGAGTATATCTAATATTTACCCAAATTCCCTTAGTTGTTACTCATAAGAAAAAACCAGTGAAGCATTATAAAGACTAAAATTAAATAAGTAATCGAACTCCTCTATTAACATTACAAACGTAATATTTATAGAAAAATTTAGAAAATGAATTCTGTAGCCACAACGCTCGAGATACTTATGCCGTGACGCCCATAAAATGAAGTAACGCCACAGTGCTAAAGGGTTTTCTCCATTGTGGTGCTTGCTGACATAGACCTATTGTTTAATGAATCAATGTGTCGCTTCGCTGGCAGATCATGACCTGAATAGTTAAAACTGTAGTGCCGCGGCGCTGTTGATGGTTGAGTGATGTGGCATCCATGTGGCACTTCCCTTGACCTGACAACACTGGAATTGTGTTGCAGCGCTATGCAGATAGAGATTGTGCTTTGTGGTGCTAACTCCTCCGACGCTACAGTGATGTCAAATAGAAATAGGTGTTGCCATGTCCATATTTGGGCACTCCGGCGGTCTCAATGATAGTGCCGCGACGGTATAGTACCCGATGCCATGACATTGTACTATACTTGAAAATTTTGCCCATTTCTTATTTTTTCATACACAAACACAATTAAAACAGCACGTTTTTACTGACATATTTGCACTTATCACCCATCAATGGATGGAGGCTTCTCAAATTCTCTGCACCGGGAATGAGGGAAGAAATGCGACGACACCGATCCACAAGGAATGGGCAACCGAATATACAGGGATTTTGGTTGAGATTAGAGTAGAGTTTGGCAGCTGAAGACAGGGATTTGACAGATTTTTTTTTTTTTTTAATTATTATCATTTTTTTTCTTGTAGTTTTGAATGGCGGTCAACATCTATTATGCTGATTAGATTGATTCATTGCTTCTTCTCGGGTATGATTAGTTTGGTTCTGCCTCTGTTTAGCTGTTTCACCGTTTTTTTGTTGGTTCACTAACTTCTTGTTGGTACTTTGTCTAAGTTTTGTTGGTTCAGTCACTGGTTCCTGTTCCCAATGTTGTTTGATTCCCTTGGCCTTTGTTACTTCTGCTACATCTGTTCAGTCTTCTAATCGGTAATTACTCCTACTCATGTTCGGTCTTCTAGCAAGTGGTTAGATGCAAATTCTTCTCCCACTCTTGATTGACAATTTTTTCTGGGAAGTCATCTTTCTTGCATTAGCGTAAGATTTGACTCTCTTATTCGATGAATTCTTTCATCTACGCATTTTGCAATTAATTTACATGTGTCATTGGGTTGGGTAAAACTTGCATAATCTGGACATTCTAATTGCCATGTGACTTTTGATCAGTGTGGTCATCTTCAGCTCTGAATTTCTACATGAATTTTCTGTTTGGTTAATCCATACTAAAAACTCCTATACCTTAACATGTCCTGCATCACTAAAGTTTCAATTGGCATAGCTATGTTGTCTCTATGTTTTTGCAATGTTTCATAGAATTCATAACAATCACACATGTGCGGTTTGGCGTTTTTAAAAGCTCATTTCTCATAAAAATCAAAAGAGCTTTTGAAAAACAAAACACAAGAAAAAACTGTAGGTGAGAGATTATTCATGTACTTGAGTTAAAAGCCATATGACAACATCTATGCTGTTATTTAGCACTTATAAAAGCAAGACTCACAAATACTAAGACCATATAAAAGAACAATAAAACATTTTACACCGATAATTTAATTTGGGAATAATTTTTTTTAAGAAGAAAAAAAAATAATTCCATTTGATTCAGGCTGTAAAGCTTTCATAAATTCTAAGCTCAGGAAATGAGGAAAAAACAAAAGAAAATACTCATAACGTAAACAAATTTAAAACCTATCTTTGATGTCAGTTCCATTCACAATCAGGGAAGGGATAATGCGCACAACAGCATCAATTGGTATGGCAAAGTTCACACCAGAAGATACACCAGATCCTGTACATGATGAACAAATACAATTAAACTTTGACTTCATTTGAGACAGCTTTCTTACTTCTTCTTAAAGCAACTTTCTAGTACAAAAATTTTAATTGTTGCAGCAGTAAAAAGCTGTCCCAAACAAAATCATTTTCAACACAAATAACATGACAACTTTACATATATATAAATATCATCAAAATATATATTCCATTTCTCATCATGACCAAATATTTCTGTTTCATGTAAAAATGGATTAATCATATAAAGATGTTTTCTATAATTAGATGGCTTCTCATCTTAAATGCATTATTTATCTATATCTAAACAAGTATCAAAGTATGGAAACAAGGAGTACCCTTTCGTGTGAATGTTGCTGTGTTAACTCCAATAACATGACCATAGGAGTCAATCAAAGGGCCGCCAGAGTTCCCTGCAGTTCATGTAAGAATAACACGGTGAATAGGGATCACTTAAATCTTAGAGGAAGAAGTTTCTCTGAAAAAAATGGCAGATAATGATTAACCTTCTCACAATTACCATGGAATGTCATCAAAGTGCTCCTCAAGTTCATAACTCAATGAAAAGGAAGAGCAATGTGGGGAGAATCTTAAGCAAATTAACTAAGAAGTAAGGAAATGTAAAAGTAAAATAGGAAACTGCAGAAACAAAGAAAAATAACTATGAAGAAACAATTAAAAAAAAAAATATACTATGAAGAAACTAGCATCAAAGTATTTACACCAATCCTAGCCAACAAAAAACTCATCTCCCATGAAAGAATCCTTTCCTTACCTATATAAGTGAATAAGAAAATTCAAACATGGTATGGAAAAAAGTATTGCCATGGAGGAGACAATTGAAATAAGAATGACTAATTAACCAATTAGAACTCTTAATTTTGGATTAAAATAAATTATTAGGTAACCATCTAAGAAGTTGAAATGACAACAATGTTATTCATTTTTCAATATCTTGGTAGATTAAAACTGTCATTTCTGTCCCACGATTAAATGAGAAATCTTGAGAGCGATGTAAGGTTAATAACCAATCTTATATTATATGTTAAAGAAATAAAAGAAACCTAAATCGATTTACTCTAGTACAAAGCCAACCCTAAATAAGGCTTTTTTTTTAAAGAGAGATTAATTATTTAGATATTAGAGTAGGGAGATGATTCATGAGAAAATCTATATCGAAGCAAAATTGTTGATGTCCTCGACCGCCTATGAGTCAATCATTGAAATCACTCCTTGTCACGCTAATTTTAAAGAATGTTTTATGCTTTATATTTAATTTTGTTGTTCTTTCTTTCAAAAAAAAAAAAATTAAATATAATTTTTTAAAATTGCAGTAAGAAATATTTTATCGGCGTATTACTAAAATTGAAGTTAAAGAGTTTTTAAAGAAAATGAAGTGTGGGAAAACTGTTAATCCTAATGATATTCCAATAGAGGTGTGGAAATGCTTGGGTGATGAAGAAATTTCTTGGTTTACTAAATTTTTTAATATTATTTTGAAGATTAAAAAGATGCCATATGTTTGGAGAATGAGTGTGTTGATTCATATTTATAAGAATAAAGGTGATGCACAAGATTATACGAATTATAGAGGAATTAAATTGTTGTGTCATACTTTTAAACTTTTGGAGAGTTATGGAGCATAGGTTATGACGTGATATCAATGTTTCTCAAAATCAATTTGGATTCATGTTGAGTAGGTCTACTATAGAAGCCATGCATTTATTGAGAGGTTTGATGGAGAAGTATAGAGAGAAAAAGGTGGATCAATATATGATATTTATTGATTTAGAGAAAGCATATGATAAAATTCCAAGTGAAGTGTTATGGAGTGTTCTAAAAATGAAAGGGATAAATAATGCTTATATTCAAATCATTAGGGACATATATGTTGGAGCTGTTACTTGTGTTCAAACACAAGGTGGTTAAAACCAAGTATTTTCCAATTTCAGTTGGATTACATCAAGGATTAGCCTTAAGCCCATATCTTTTTGCTTTAGTATTGGATTTTCTTACTAAAGATTTGCAAGAGGATATTCCCTAGTGTATGGTTTTTGCTGATGATATTCTTCTTGTTGATACGACTAAAGAGGGAGTTGAAGGTAAACTTGAATTATGGTGGTCAACCTTAGAGTTTAGATTTTCGTTTGAGTAGATCTAAAACCGAATACATGGAGTGTCATTTTAGTAGTAATAGATCTAGTGGGGGGTTTGTAACTTTGTGCGATTAAGTCATTAATAAGAGTATTCATTTGAGATATCTTGGATCTATTTTTCAAAGTGATGGTGAAATAGATGGGGATATTAATAGTAGAATTAAAGTTGGATGGTTGAAGTGGAGGAATGCATCAGGCTTGTTGTGTGATAGAAAAGTACCACTCAAACTTAAGGGAAAATTCTATAAGATGGTGGTGAGCCCTACAATGCTTTATGGCTCAAAAAGTTGGCCATTAAAAGAAAAGCATAATACTAAGTTAAGTGTTGCAGAGATGAGGATGTTCAGGTCGATGAGTGGCTTTATTCTTAGAGACATGATACAAAATGAGCATATACGTGAAAAGATTGGAGTAGCTCCAGTGGCAGATAAGATTAAAGAGTCGCCTTAGATGGTTTGGTCATATAAAACGACGACCTTCCAATGACCCGGTTAAGAGACTAGATGTATTAGATTTGACCTATGTTAAGAAAGGTAGAGGTAGACCTAAAAAGACTTGATTATAAAATATTAGAATAACCTTTCTTTATTAGATCTAAATGAGAATTCGACTCTTAACATGACATAACGGAGAAAAAGGATTCATGTAGTCGACCTCAGATAGTGGGATAAAGGCTTGATGTTGTTGTTGTTGTTATTGCAGCAAGAAATATTGTAGCCTTATGCTTTGTTTGGGATGACTTTTATAAATTTTTGTACTAGAAAACTGCTTTAAGAAGCAGTAAAAAAGCCTTTCCAAACAAAGCCTTAGTCCGTCAATGCTGAAGGAGTTAAACACATTTTTTTGTAACTATTACGTGATGAAATAATTAAACTTATCCTTTTTGTTTTGGCTGAAGTATAAATGTTTTTGGTAGTGATGTTGAAATCCCCCCTATTAGTTTTAATCCAGCATGATGCAAATCCGGTTGATCCTTACTCTCCTCCACAAATCATTCTTGAGAATCAACAAGACAAATCTCACACCATCAAAAGAATGCAAAAGTCTGGTAAAGCCTCAAAAATATTGGCTAAGAGTCTTAATAGTACAAGAGTAAGATGATTGGAGTCAATCTTTTATCAATTATTGTAAAGAAGTGAAACTTCTAGCAAAAACAAAAACAAAAAAAGTGAAACTTCTAGCAAACAAATCATTCCTTACATATAATGGAAAAAAAATTGTGGTATGCGTTCATCAACAACTGTTGACCTGTATACGGCAGCCAAAATCAAATAAAAAAAAAAATTTCGTACCTGTTCAGCGCCGACTCGCACGACTGCGGAAATCTCGCTCGAATCATCGCATCGTGCTCCGTTTGTCTTCGCACGACGACGTCTCGTCATGTGATTATGATACCTAGGAATAGAGGAAGATGATAAGGTCGTGATCGAAGTTTATAAGGGACTTTATGATGCACATCAACCAAATCCCAAAATAGCCATCAAAATCAAGAGAATGAATTATTATTGGCTGTTAATGGTGAAAGATAGTATTAAACAAGCTAAGAAGTGTCACAAGATCCAAGTGCATAGTAATACATTACATTAATTGCCAAATCTGTTGCACCCCACACTTGCAACCTAATCTTTCCAGTACTATGGCACATATATAATTGGCTGAATCCATAGTTGTCATGGCGCAAAATAGCGCGCGCCATGGCGCACGGCGTGGCGCGGCGCACCTACGGCGCCATGTTCATGGCGAGGCGCATGTGTTTAAAATAGCGCGCGCTATTTGCGACACATGTGAGCCATAGCGCACGACGCAAAATAGTGCGCCAAATTGTTTTTAAATTTAATTATACTTATACAAGAATTTACAACTTAGCAGGTATGCTTCTTATTGATTGCTACTTGAAGTATTTCACTAGCAACCATAGTTTAGAGGCGTCCACCTCTTAAAATTAAAAAAAAAAAACTCTCGGTACCGCTATGGTACCGCTATGTACATGCTCGGTACCGCTCGGTACAGGTCGAATCCCGCCAGGGCGCAGCGCCCCCTTGGACCCCCAGTAGCCCTACATATTGTTGTATTCATCATCTTTAGTAATAGTTGTTAGTGATAGTCTGCTTCTTCATGAGTGCATGCTTTGTTTAAGTTTTCTTCATGAGTGCATGCTTTGATTGGGAGACATTGGACTCTATAGGAGAGGAGGAAGGGATGAGAACTTTAAATGTGAATTCTTCTCTCTTGGATAGCTTGTCTTTCATTTTTAATGATATTTCATATTCATGATTATTATTTTATAATTCTTATATAATTTGCGTCATGTTAAAAATAGCGCGCGTCGTGCCGTGCGCTATGCGCCATGGCTCCAAAGGAACCTTTGCGCCATGGTGCGCCATTCGCTGTTAACAGGTATGGCTGAATCGATCCACCATTATCAGCTAGACACCACTTCATCTTAGCAGTAACCCATCACTTCCCTAAGTGAGGAGAAGCAACTCTTTTCAAAAAAGTTACTGGTGAGCAATTAATTAACTTTTTCACTCACTATGTTGTCTACAGATTCAGTGTCATGCTGTGTTATTTCAGAAAATTGTCCAACTTTTAAAAGCATCAAAATAAATAGATTTGTCGATCGATATAAATCAATTTGTGATATTTATCAATTTACAATCCAAAGGAAAATAAATTGTGGAAGCCTTTGAATAAAATGTTCATAAAGCTACTGAAGAAAATCCTCACAAAAAACATGAGGTAATGACACATAAAAATGATAAAAAATTTTGGGCATACCAGACTAACTATAACACACCAATAAAAATCACTCCTTTTTAGTGTTCAAAGCTGAAGTAGTATTACTTTTTAATGTTGAGTTGTCATCATTTCGAGAACCATTTAGTGTAATCTCACTTAGAAGTAGAATGTTCATTTGATGTTAGAAGAGCTTGACGCAGTAGATGAAATTAGACTCCAAACTCAATAAAATCTTGAGATGTATCGAGCGAAGATGTCAAGATCATTTGATTACTTGGTGCATCCTCCAACATTCAAAGATGAAGAGTTGATTTTTGTGTTGAGAAGGCCAATCATTTCTAATCAAAGAATTGGTGGTAAATTTAAGCCAAATTTAGAGGGTCTCTTCTTCATAAAAAATGCATATAAATGAGAAGTTTATTAACTCATTAACATTAGTGGACAAAGGCACAAGCCATCGATCAATGGTAGGTATTTGAGGAAGTATCACCCCTAAAGAAGCAAGTTCGAGAAGTTGTATTTAAAACTTTCTTGATAAATATATTCTCTATTTCTATTAATGGCTATACTCAAAAATTCTAGAAATTCTCTTGCAAAGCAAAAATAAATTTCTAGATCATCATAAAAGATGAACTAAGATTTCCTCAAAAATCTTTTGCAAAAACAAGAATGCGCTATGAAATTGTCATAGAAAATCCGCTACAAAATAGGGAGCATTTTTTAAAATTTAAATTAAAGTTCAAATGTTGACTTCTCTGCTATAGCCAAGAGAAAGAAACAAAAAAATAAACATATAAAAATGACCAAATCATTATCTGTGGCCAAGTTCTGCCCAAAACCTACCCTTATCCTGCTCAAATCCTGCTGTATTAGCAGCCCATATCCCTGCAAAAAAAAAAAGTTTCTGTCAAATCCATCAAAACTACAGCTGCCCTGTCAAAGTTCTGCTCCATACCTACAGCAGCCACCTGTTTTTGTCAGGCAAGTGTAAATAAAAATAAATAAAAAAGGGCTTATCATGTGCTCCTAACTGATCCCTCTCATCTCTATATATACACACACAAGCCCCCACTCCCATTTGCTTGGTTCCTGCAGCTCTCCACGTGAAACTTCCCACTACTAGCAGCTCCTACACCTCTCATCCCATTCTCCCTCTTCAGCAAAACAACTCCAGCCTACACTCCTCTCCAAACCAAACTCCACACCAAAATCAAGCAAGACCAATCTTCTCTTCACGTGAAGACCTCCTACATCAGCTTCCGTATTCCTCCTCCATAACAGCTATAGCCTCACACTCCATTTCCTCCTAATCACCTACCTCACAAACCCAACTTAAAACAGACTACTACCAACTCAAAAAAATCCCCAATCCTTCTCAGCAAATCTCCAAACAGCCCACTCTTCCTCCTACCCTCACAAGCTGCTACCTTTACATACATGTCCCAATAGTCTAACCTACCTACAGCTCTCCACCTGCACTAAACCAAGCCACCAAACTCCACTTAAACAGCAATTATTCACTTCTCCAAACACAAACCAGCAGCCCAAAACTATCTCATCCTCCACAACCCAAACCCAATATTAAATCAGTCCATTTCCCATTGCATTTCACCCAAAAATTGCACAGTAAGTTTTATGTATGTGAGTATACATTCTTCACCTATCCATTTGTATTACTAGCATCACCTGTCATTATTAGTTGAAATGATTAATATTGTTAGTTTATTATCCACCAATGTCAATAATCGCTCATGACATGGCTATTGGTTTTAAATATATGTGTGCATATGTAAAAAAAAAAGAGATAAAAGAGAGAGAGGGAGAGAGTTTGTACATTTTTATAAAATCTCCGCGCCGACGGCCGCCAAGGTATAACTCCTAAACCCTAAAACTCCAAGAACCCAATTTCAATGCATGCGTCGAGACAAAACGACCACCTATACACGCTTTTCTTAGCGTGATGGGAGGACGTGCGTCTTGACGCTTGCGACGAAGCTGGTAATCACCGAAAATCCCTTTTTCAAAGTTTGTAGCGCACCGGAAAACCGACTATACACGCTTTTCTTAGCGTGGTGGGGGATCAAAAAATACACGGCCGTGGTGTCCTCGAAAGAGGGCACCTACCATACACTCTTTTCTTAGCGTGGTGGGAAAGGCCCAGCTTTTCGTAGTTTTCCCCTAAACGGGGGAGACGCCGGGAGGCTGCCGAAATTTTGAGTGAATGTGAGACTTGACTTGGACCTCATTTAAACTCAAAAGAATAATGGTGGACTCGGACTTGTGGACTTTAATGTAATAAACTCAAATCTAAAATAAAATCCAAGCTTAAATAAATCACAAGGACTTGAATGAAAACTTGGATTCAAGCTTAAATAAAGATACAAGTTGACCATTTGGAACTATACTCAGAACTTGAATCAAGTCGACAAAACTTGGACTTGAACTCAAAGGATGAAGAACTTGATTTGAACATTAAGGCGACAAGGCTTGAACTTGAAGGACAACAGGGGACATGAATGGAAGAGGTTCATCGAGAGCCTGAACTACTTAAACTCAAGCAAGGATTTGAATTCAAAGGATAGCAGGGGGCTGAATAAATTTGAGAATACACTTGAGCATGAATAAAATTTTAACTTAAGTGACAATCTTGAGCTTAATTTGAACCTAAATACAAAGAACAAGGACTTGGACTTTAACAAATCATATGAAATCAAGGTTAAACCAAGATGCAATAAGCCAAGCCTGATTCCAAACAACAAGGCAGCTGTACAAGCTAGAACTCAGGAAGAATGTTGAATGAATTTTCAAGGCATACAAATGATGAATGATAGAATGGCTTGATATATTCATGAAAAATCAACTTGCAAACGAGAACAAGTGATATCCACATCGTCGTGCAAGCAAATTCAACTCCCCTTGTAAACAAAGAGATTTGGCGGGTCATTATGGTTCATTACGAATGTAGGAGTGCACATAACATACTACAAGCAACATCGAAGGAGCTACAAGGAATGCAATGTCGTATCTCTCATTAACAACAATTCAATTCCAAGAAGATACAATCATGAATGAGATCAAATGCTAATGAGCAGATAAAAAGGCTTCTATGCAATGAAAAATAAAATGCAAGAGTAACATGCATGTCAATAACAACACACTCAATGAAATATGCATGAACAGTAACAAGGATCATGCAATGATATGTCCACAAACAAAGTAAGGGAGAGGAGTAGAGCCTTTGCTATCAGTATGGACTAATATGTAAGCGAGCACATAACGGTCTACATTCGAGAAAGATAGATATGTTATAAGAGACCCACACCACAATCAGCATGTCAGTACAACAAGAAAGATTCGACATGAGGTGGAATAGACATGGGGCAACGACGATGAATATTCTACAAATACTTGGGAGATAAACTGCTAGAAGGCAAAATGTGGAAGATCATAGCAAAGGGAGATACTTACGGGTCCTTGTAAAAGAACCGTCATATACACCAGATGCCATCTACAAACAAAAACAGATGACACATAGCAAAATGCAAATACGTATGGGCCTTCATAGGAGTCATACACAACAAGCTATCCACAAGAAAAATATAGAAGAGCTTCAGAAAAGTGCAAGCTCCTACGACCTAAAGCAGGAGACTCGTTAGTGCACTACGATCCACCTGCAGAAAGCAACAATAGTGCACGACGGTCTGCCTGTACGAAGCAGTGAACAACTCTATTCAGAAGCTGCTACTTTACGCCACCGGATTTGTAACAATCATACAAACAGACAGAAGGCGTTTACAAATATTTTAAAGTATCCCCACACGTGCACCATAGTTTGTATACACATAGGTACACTAAAAGGGGTAAGAGAAATTATGAAACCCACATGGGCCCAGGCGAGCGTGTTGTAGGAACACATGTGACGTCTAGGGATGCTACACGGGTCAATAAAATTTGAATCCGATCCTCCTAAACAGGTAGGTAGGAGTTGACAAGGTTCAGTAAATGATTATAAAATGCCCCCAAACACCCGCATGGGCCCCGGCAAGCATGTTATTGGTACCCAAGTGACGTCTAGGGATGCCGCGCGGGTTATTAAATATGGACCCGATCCTCCTAAGCAAATAAATAGGAGTCGACAAGGTCCGATAAATAATTATAAAATGCCCCCAAACACCCGCATTGGCCCCGACGAGCATGTTATTAATACACACGTGACGTCTAGGGATGCTGCGCGGGTTGACAAGTGAATTCAAGTTCGAAACCGATCCTTCTATACGGGACAATAGAAGTCGACAGGGTTCGAACCACAATCAGATATACGGTTGTGGCGATCGTTATATTTGTCTTAATACATTCATATTAGGCCTTCAAGGCCCATAACAATGAGAATTCACTATCAAGTATATAAAACCTACGAAACCTGATCCCCTATCGTCAAGTTGATAGGGTTGACAGAGTTCAATCAATAAAGATAAATAACCCCTAACACCCCGATGATGGCCGTGTTGAATGAAATCTCAATCGGAGTTCACAAATATTTTTCAAATGCCACTCAAAATCAAAAAAATCCCAAAATCCAAATATTTAAAATTGAAATAAATCTATCAATTGCTTAAAGCAAAATTCATCCACCCTCCGTAACAGTCTGTCGAGGTGGACAAATCCAAATATAACTTCAGCTCACAAAGAGCTAATGCCTAGTCCAAAATATCACTAGGATTCATTCTCATACAATCTTCCTGCCAATAAGGACGTGGTACATGTCCTCTAACCGACGATTTTGCCGCTAAATGGCACCGCAGGATAAATGGTTATGACGACCCGGGGCCCTCTGAATCGAGTGGTTTTACTGTCAAATGGCACCACACAATACCGGTTATGGCCAGAGCCAATACGCTCCTTAGTGGAATCAAATTCTTGAGATATGAATCAATAGGTACAAAGCCCTCTGTTAGCTAAGGTGGATTTGAATTTGTCTGCTTAGACAAATATTCCCCCTAGGTCTACAAGGTCCCCTTGGATGAAGCAACCCATGGCTGCTGACAAGGATCCTTCTGTTAGGTTGGGTCGACTACCTCCTCTGACTAAGTAGACCAGGGACCACGATGGCCCGGGACGACGGAACCATGGGATCTTGATCGAGCCCATCATCCATTCCCCCACAATCCGCTTTAAGTGAAAGATGGTGAAAATTTCTATTTTAAATATCAAATCCCAACTTCAAATCATCCAAGTTTTCCAATATCAAACCTTTCAAATTCCCAAATTCAACTTTTCGAATTCTCAAATTCCAAATCAATGCTGCTACTATATGCTAGATAATACGTATTTCTACGTATCTGATTGATGACTAGTCTTATTCCTTAATTGAAAGTTCTCTCTCGTTATCGGGAGGGGTAATTAACTATAGGGGCTTGCACCTATAGGAAACCAGAACTTAGATCATAAAGTCATCGCAAAAATGAGGGCGAAATCTCTAGGTAGTGTCTTATCTACAAACCCATCTGCCTTCCAAAATTTACCCCGGAACTTAGTTCGTTAAAACTCCCTCGCCAAATAAAAAGAAAAGCGGGGAGGCCGGGGCCGAATTTTTGGAGCCCACATCAAAATCGAAACACCGTCAAATTTTTCCTCTAAGATAAAAGATATTTTAAATATTTATTTAGGTCAACATTGTACATCGTGCCAAGATTCTTAAATATCTATTTGAAACTACTAATAACACAATGAATATTATTATGCAAAATAGAGCAAAAGCTAATACATTTTAACGAGTACATGTTATCACTACAAAAGTTGAAATGTTCATCCCTCAACTTGTCTCAATTTTGAAGTTTAAACGAACTTTCAAGTCTGGAAATCTCAACAAATCAAGTGAGTGAAGA